AAGTCTCCTGTTCCTGCTGAGATTTTGAATAGGTTCATCAGTATTTAGAGAATCCTGAGATGGTTTGGTTATGGTGATTTGACTTGTGTTCCACAGTAAAGTCTCAAGAGTTAGCATAGGGAACAGAGTTTTAACAGTATTCAGATAAATTCTGCTCATCAGTGTATTTATAGAAGATGGACAAAGAATTGTATGTTACATATTGCCCTACATGAGCAATAGACTTAAAATCATTGGCTGTCTGTCAAAGCAGTCTATTGTATTTCCTGTCAGCTTGTGAATGTCTTGGATGACCTCAATGACTAAAAATCAAAGCTAGTCCACTCAGATATCATTCAGTCATTGTATTGCATTGATTTCTTTTCTCCCTCTCAAATACGCAAGAATGGGAAGGGAACATTTCTCAGCAGTTGCAGTTACTGGCAGAGTATTGTAACAATGTGATGGAAATCTCTAAGAATAGTGAGTTGATGGAGCCAGAGTATCAATAATGTGATGTCTGTGGCCTCTTTTGTTCCTAGTGTTCCCACCAGAGTTGGTACTCACTCCCAGTCACTGAAGCAAATCCTGGCCTTTTCTAAATCTGCATTGTTTGGCTTCTAACAAAAATAGCAGTTCTGATGCTTTTATTTTGTACAGTGCAGTTCTGATGAACCTGAAATTGCAATGAATGAAGGAACTGACACCTGCCTTAAGACCATTGTTTCAAAGTTTTCAGCTACTGTATGGGAATTGGTTTTTATTTTTTATGTTTTCTTCTTCCTGATAGTTCCCAGTAGACAAAACATAGCTATTCAATTATTGTTTAACCCAGTTCAAGGCAACACTGGGTAACGGAATAAGACAAGTCTCTGTTTTTCCTGTTTGTGTTTCAACCTGTGATGGAACTGTTTGCTGAAGACTGCTCACACAAGTGAGCCTCCTATCATCACCAGTCTCTGCAGTGATTCAGATATTCCACACGTATTATGTAATGTCTTTATTGGCACCTTAAGGATGATGATTTGTTTCTTCATTTCAAATTAAAGCTTACAATCTGAGGATACAGCTCATTTCTTATACCCCTGAAGTGTTAGCATACTTTTGTTGAGTGTCTTCTAATTTTCAAAAATTGGCTGTACTTACTCTTCAGAAAAGTTTCCTAAGCCACTTAAATTGATAATCACTACCTACATCTCTGGAAGGCAGAGTGCAGATGATAGGAAAGGTGCACTATTGAGTCATTTTCTATAGGAGAAGAGTTTGTGAAGTATCTATCCATCCTTGGAAATATTAAAAACCAGACTCGATGTGGTGCTGGATGGTCTGCTCTAGGTGACCCTGCTTGACAAGGGAAGTTGGACCAGATGACATCTAGAGGTCACTTCCAACCTCAACCATTCTGTGGGTCTGTGAAAGCATTATTTATTCATGTGTGTCAGGAGTAAGAGAAAGTGAAGATCCTCTAGAAAAAGAGAAAGATGCAAAGAGTGGAGCTTCCCCCAATCCATGTTTTGTGTGGGAGAGTGTCTTACATCATACAAATGGAATGATATAGTGACCATATATACTGTATATTTCTGAACCTCAGTTCATTTAAAATCTGCTTGGTATTCATCAGCTCACATTGTTTAAACGTACTGCTTTTTATGACTTGCTAACACTTGTATGGTTTTAGGACATATCTAGAGTATACCAGATATGTTTTGTTTTGTTTTGTTTTTTTTCCTGTTGCCATCTTTCATTTGATGTTTAGTGGTATTTGGTGGGGGGGTGTTTTGGAAAAATAAGTGTAGTGTACTAAGAGATGACAACATAATGCTGCACTTTTTTTTTTTTGCTGGAAAATGGAAAAGAATTTCATTTTAGCAGTAGGTTTCAAACATGAACCACTTAATAAAGTATCTAGGAAAGTTGTCTGGTAACCACTTGCAGTTAATAATCTCATCTTTGTTCTGCTGAATCCTGATTGCATGTTCCTAAGTATTCTTCAGTGTGCCACTTGTCGCTATTACTCTTGCTATCTGATTAAATCTTAGAACTGTCCTTTGTCAGATTATAGCTTCATTAATACTTCACTTCCTTTCCTGGCTATGATTTCTTATGAGCTCTAGACTGGAATAATACTTTTAAAGTCAAATATGCAGTTAGCTAATTCAAGAGGTTTGCATTCACAGTTGCATAGCTGGATGCTCATCGTACCAGAAATACCAGAATTACAAGATCCATTTGTGAATGTGTTCTAGTTAAACGAGTTCTGTTCAGTGGTACTTGAGGCTCTAGTGCATAAAAATCAGATAAATTTCACAGGTCAGTATTTATTTATTTTTTTTTTCCCCTGGAAGGCTTTCTATAGACTCATTTCTGAGTTCATTTTCTGAGTTGATAACCTGCAGAAAGGATGTTAAGCCTGTTCCACTCTGTCCAGCATTCTGATAAAAACATATTATTGCTTTGGGAAGTGATCATGTTATTATTGAGGTAAATGAATTCTGGATCCATGCGGTATTTCATGTTCAAATTTAGCCTGAAGGGAGATAGTATGCTATTCTGCAATTCTTCCAGTTTGAAAGAAAAAAAGTAAACATACTACATTCCTTTTGAACTGCTGAAGGAATTACCTGCCTGGCCATTTGATTATTCTTATTGACTCACAGGAAAAACACCTGCAAGGGCATTCATCAGTTTGCTGCTAAAGGATCTGTTATAAATAAAGGATTATGAAAGTGGCAGATAAGTGTTCCTGGAATGTTTTTACAGCACCCAGACAAATGCCATTCAGCTTCCACATCTAGCATTCAATCTGTAAATCTGGGTTAGGAGAACATATTTTTTTGAAAAATGTCATGTTTACTGTGGGGAAAACATGCTGTACATAACCAAGACATTGATCATTTTTTAGATTAGGAGGCTGTGACTAACAAATTGCTGTGGCTAACAACTTGTCAGACCAAGCATCTAGTGATAAAAGTGCTTGAAATGATCTCTGTATAAAGATAACATCAGTGGAATAGATTTGTGTTTGCAAAAGTAGCAGAGCATTGCCTAAATTTGAGTAAGTTTCAAACATTCAGATTGTGGGTTTAACTGTCATTTTCCCCAAGAGACCCTGTTTTTTATCAGCTTAATGGACACAAATTGCTGAATAGCAATCAAACCTTTAGCATATATCCTTATGGGGAAAAAAACTCCAAACACCACACACTGTTACTGAAAATGCTATTACAGTAGCCTGTGATGAAAAAGTGAAAGTTTAAACAGTCTGAAAGAGGCTTTTTTGCCTCTTTTTTTTTTTTTTTCCTTGCTAAATACCACGTACTCTTCTTCTGCCCTGTTTTAAGGTTACATTTGGCATTTATAACAGAGATGATTAAATAGAAGTAGCTGTTTAGATGTAATATTTTACATGATTTTTTGAAGAAGTTTGTAATATAATAGTATATTGATTATGCATCTTCAGCCAACAAAATATTAAAACACCAATTTCATGCAGGGGGTGAAGCAAGAAGCATTATTTGGGATAGGTAGCAGTAGGACTCTGGAAAGTTTATCGTAGCAAATGCTCCTACATTAGTGGCAGAATGTATATAATGATTGACTTCTATGGTATGTTTCCAGTAGTACTATTGTGTTGACAATTTCTTCACCATAATCATGAAAGCAATTAGAATATACTCATTCTTGTATGCAGAAGTTTTTTATAATGAAATAGTAGTTTTACAAATGCTAGTATTATTTTTTTTCCTCAGTATATTGTATTGTAGAGAATGGAAAACATTCTTCTGAAAAGCCACTTTTAAAGTGCTATTGAGATGAGGTTTTAAGATCAAAAGATATATTTGCATTAAAGAGATTTTTCCATCCCTCCTTAGAGGGGTGGAGGGAGGGAAAAGCAAAGTACGTTATTAATGCTGTGCATTTCTTATGTAGCTCATCCATACCTGACTTTCAAATGCAGATGAATCCATTAACATTATTAATTGCTGAACATTTCAGATGGGAATTTAATATCCCTTTTTATTTAAGAAAAGTAGAGAATTTTACTGCAAAAGACAGGATTGAGTGAGCCTTATTTTAGTATAAGCATTCTGCAGTGTTTTCCACATATGCCCTTTAGTTCTAGTTTGGTTTGACTTTGTCATAGACAGGTTTGACCTTCTGTATTATTTCAGAGATAATAGCTACAGATCTTATCGAGTAAATGCTTATTAGGGTCTAAGTTGAGGGACTCTTTCTTTTCCTGCCTACATAAAATACGTCAGAATTGTACCTTTGTGTGTCCACTTCAGAATTGTACCTTTGTGTGTCCATTTAATTCTTCAACTTAAACTTAGATACAGAAATCAAGGCCTAAGACCTGTAGATCTCCATCTGGAATGTGTTTTTTTTTTTTTTTGTATTAAAGAATTGAGAAGGACTTTCATGTATGGCTGAACACATGCATGGGTTTTGTTGTTATTTTTTTTAATTTCCCTACTGCAGGAAAAATATATAACTAATTGTGACAGATCAATAGCTGCAAGGCAGAAAATGCATAATGTGTGGCAGGGACTACCAATGGAGAGCTATCATTGTGGTCTGGAAGACTTCCTCAAGAAATATGAGGATGTGCATATAAACTTACTATTTCAAGTACTTTTATAAAAGTGCTGTAGAAGAGTTTCCTGTTGCTCATGTCATTGGGTAGCAATGACAGCTTTTTCTTTTAATACTTATTTAAAATTAAAAATTTGAATGAGATTTTCAGATCCTACTGCAAAATGCTTAGTTACAGAAGAAAAGAAACCACAGGGTGGGTGAGATGAGCTGGGGGCATAGACCATGTCTATGTAGGGAACCTGTAGGCTTTCTGAAACATGATGATGTAATTGCCAAGGACAGAATACATACAAATAGGTACCCTGAATGCATTTGAATTATCATTAGTATCTTTACTACAAACCAAGACCAAAGCTTCAGTCAATAATACTATGCCACTTTATTGAACAATTCTAATGAAGTGCTTTACTTTTCTCTGGCAGATGAACGGGAAGATGTTCAAAAGAAAACATTCACAAAATGGATAAATGCACAATTTGCTAAGGTAAATGCTTTTGTTTATTCATAAACAAAAAATTTTTTGAATGTTTAAATAAAAAGCCCCTGATTTTCCTCCACTGAGGTTTAATTTTCAAGATAACAGTTACCAGTTTCAGATATTGCTGAATGTAGTTGACTGATATGTTAGAAAAAATCGCCAAGTTTTATTCCTTTGATTTCAGTAGAGGTTGAACTGTAAGAAGCCATCCTTTTAAAATGTTCTCTGCCTCTATTTACTTTGCCTTTTCTCAGACTACTGATGCAGATATATTACTGAATGTTGTCAGTTTTTGTTATGTTACCACTATATGGAGAAGCTTCCTCTATTGAGCTTGTCTTTTCTTGTTTCTAATTGCAATCCCAAATTTAACAAAAGCAAATGAATTGGAGAGGAGCAAGGTCAAAGACAAGAGGTGTGATCCAGCCAGTGAATTATGAAAGTCAATTATAATATGTTTTGAAATCATTATCTTTGGTAAAGAGCTGAAATATACTTGAAAAAAGATAACTAGCTTATTTAAATGAGGTCCCCTGGCAGTATGTAATAATTTCATCTTTAATACACAGGAAAAAATTCAGCTCAAACTATTAATTTTATTAAACATTTTTAAAATCACTGGAGGATAATTACTGAACTGTATTTGTCAGTTGTAAACTAAGTCATTCCCACAATCTGTCATTTTATCTGGCAATGGACACAAATGAAATGGTACCTGTGATATATCTTCTGTTTAGTCTGGCTTCTGATTGTGTCCCATTTGCTTCTTCTTATTAAAAAAGAGGGGTAAAATAATCTGAATAGGACCACCATAATGTTGGAAAACATGCTCAGTAATGGTGCAGTCCAGCAGGGAGTCCCACGGGTCGTTAGCTTTTTCTAAGAGTATTTCCAGTGATTCAGACAGCACACATTTGTGCTCAGCATCTTTACAGCAGAGATGACCAGCAGTTTGGAGGACTGGATCAGGAGGAAAGACAGTCCTGAACTCAAATGATCTCTAATTAATCAATGAATTACAAGACAGGTGTGAAGTATTATATTTGGGACAGAAGAAAAATGTGTGCATACAGAAAAAGCAGCAACTGTATTATCAGTAAAAATGCAAAGAAAAGTCTGGAAATTGTGGTGAATCACAATTCAGCTGCACGGTAGTATTAAAAAAAAAAAAGGCATATACATTATGGCTGTGATAAAGGAAATACTTAACAGAAGATGAAAGTTGTAATAATTTCATTTTATTTGGCAACAGTGAGATTTTAACTTAAGTAGTTTACTGTCTTGGTGTTCCATATATGAAGACACAGTGCTAGCAGTCATTGTCTGATACAAGCTAATTTGAAATATATTGCCAGTTAGGCCTTGTTATGGTCACAGAAATAGTTACCGAAAACTAAGGGTAACTGGTGCTTCTCTATCTAAATCAAGTGTAGTGTTCCTAGGGCATTGCTTTCTCAGTGATAGTGATTTTGTGCAATAGAAGACCTTTCTGTTACTGAGGAAACTTGGAAGAAGTGTGCAGAAGAACAGTAATTATGAGGGGTTTAGAAAATATGACCAATAAGCAGATGCTTTTAATGGTAGGTTTGACTCAGTTGTCTGAATTGATCTAGGTGTCTTTCCTCCAATTCAAGTTCAGTGGAGTGTACTTCAGTGGTGTTTTAACTACCTTTTACTTCAGTTCTATAAATTTTTAGTTGTACGTGTACACACATTCATAAACATACTGGAGAAGAACTCATCTCCCTTTACTTCATTTGGATTCTGAGGAAAACCTACTACAAACTATGGTGCAAGTTTTTCTTTGCCTCATGTATCACTTGTGTTTTGGACAAGGTCTTTTTATTTCAGCAGTCTACCAAAAAACACTTTATCTTTAAATCTTGGCCAAATTATTCTTTTCCTGAAAAGTTGTTACATATAACCAAAATACTTTTGTCTGAAACGCTAATTCCTACTCCTTTTACCAACCAGAAAATGGATTATGCAAAAAATCTGTGATTTAAAGAGTACAGTATGTGACTCATCTATAAGTACCTCAGCATTGTTGCAGTAAGAGAGCCCAAAAGTTGGCTTCTAATGTTTGTGAGATAAAATGTTTAGTAAATTAGAAGTATAGGAGAAATAGAGAATATAATCCAAGAGACCTTTCTGTTTTCACTGCTCTGATCATAGACATTGTGTATGACTTTCTTTAAGTGATACCTTCTTGGTTTATCAACTAAATGGCATGCAATAAGTTGAAACTTCAGGCATCGTTAAAAAAATTAGAGCATATTGCTTTAATATAATTTTATTCAGAAAGAGCTTTTCTTTGCCCTCAAAAGAAGTTTATTTATAAAATAGTTAAATTCTGCAGGGTGTACGTAATGATAGCAAAGTAAGGCGTTGTAACCTAGTTTTTAATAATAGAACTATAATTAGGGCTCTCATAAAAGATCTAGTCCTGAGTAAGATTTTTTTTTTTTTTTCTCAGATCTCAACCTTTAAAATTTCAAATAACTGAAACCTTTGTAAATGAAACACAGGATCTTAAGTATGTGTTTGGGGGAATGCAAATGCATCACCAGCCCTCAGGTGTAGCTGCTCTCTGCTGGAACTTTGAAACCGCCACAACAATTGTGTTAACAATGTCTGTACCCCATTTTAAATGAGCTTATGTTGCCTCATTGGCTAAACATCTTCAGTTGTTCAGTGTATAATAGGCTTCAAAATACAAAGTGTGGAAATGTTCTTTATTTGCATGTATGAAAGAGCTTGGAAATGGCAATTAAGTTTAAAATGAAAACCTGAAAATTCCAGTGCCAGAACTGAAAGTTCTCAACTGTAAAAAGGAAAGAGTATGCTCCTGTGACTAAAGAAACACTGGCGATTTTTTTTTTTTTTTTTTTTTTTTTTTGTTCTCTCATTATGGGGGGGCTGTCTTAAAGTACTGCCAATTGTACTGCCAGCAATAACAGTATGTGTTGTGAGTACAGAGAAGGCAAGCAGCTAATCGTAAATTTTGCAGCTTGAATTTTAGGTTATACCCTTATGGCTAACTTAAGGTCAGCAGCTTAATCTGTAAGTGAGTTTTATAAATGAATAGTAATTTATGAATGAGTTTTCAACATTTCAATCTGCAATATCGAAAAGCATGTTATTGCTTGTAAATTCAGAGGTTTAAATAGGTTTTCCACATTTCTGCTACAGAAGTGTAGAAAATTCCATTATATAGTCAAAGAAGTCAGTATATGACAATACATATAGACAAGAGTCGGAACATAGAACATGATAGATGGAAGAAGAGAATTTATATTTTTTTTTTTATGGTTGCTCTACTTCATGTTTTGGATTTTTTTCCTGTTGGTATTGAAGAAGTCAGAATAAGAAAATAAATTTAAGATAACCACTATTTTCATTACTTAGCTTTATGTAAACCAAAGATCACCTGGTAAGGAATCTTTTTAATGGAGAATTTGAGTTGTGAAGAATGGCAGCTTTTTATCAGCAGGCAGAAATATTAGAAGGTAGTGGTTTCTGTGGTGACTGTGGAATTAGGATCCCATTTTTGTAGTGATTATGTGAAGAAACATAGTAAAGATGCAGTCTGTGCCAAAGAAGGTAAAGTTGACAGCCTCATTTAAGATATACGTGGCTAACAGAAGAACAATCAGCAATATAAAATGCACTTTTTATTAATGAAATTGTTTTGAATAGCAGCTAGATTGTTCAGGTAACTCGTACATGCAGGGATAAAAGGAACCCAAAGGGGGGACATTGATTACAACTTCAGTTGAACTGCGTAGCAGTCAAAATAATTTCTTAACGACCCACTGTTTGTCTGTGGCTTATATGATAGGAGGCGTTTTGACAGTCTCACGTCTTCCCATCTTCTTGAGTTCATGGACAACTTGAAATTATTCAAGACTCCCATTTGCTTTAGTGGTCTCCTGTGATTGTAAATTAAATGCCTTTTGCATATCAAATAACAAAAATTATTGATACAAATGAAATGTTTACTGACCTATGGAGGACATATATATCAAATATTTGAGATCCAGAGAGGCTACTGTAAGTCTGGCATCTGAAGAGAAATTTACACTGCTGCTTTTGCTGCTTCCATGCTATCACTTACAAGAATTTTGAATTCAAACTAATTTAAAAAGCCACTCAAAGTGAATTTGAAGTGTTGAAGACTCTGGGAGGGGAGCAGTCTGGTGAAGCTTTTGGAGTAGATGGTAATAGTTTAATTTGACACATTTCTGTAAGGTTTTGCTTCTATGGAAATATGTTAGCCCCGTGAATAATTTATGTCAAACTTCATCAGATGAACCAATTCTTTAGCCATATTTCTGGGCTGCAATTAGTAACCAAGAAAAGGAGCTGGAGGGAGGCAAGTTGCCAGCAAATCACAGAAACACAGATTAAAATACTCAGTATTAGCCCTGTCCAAACTGCTATCTTGACAAATAACCTATAGGTCAAATGAAGACAACTGCTTAAATGAGTGAGGTATGGGTAGGAAAACTGGAATTAAACAGTGAACTTACAGGTTCAGATCAGTGTGCTCAAAGTTCACTGATGTCTGCCCGTGTGTTGTATTTCCTAAAAGCAGAACAGTAGCTGCATATGTGTGTCTATGAGACTAGAAAAGATCGCTAGCTGTCATTAGCTGTTTCACTTAATAAAAGTAATCAGTAGGGTTAGCTGCTGTTGTACTCACTAGAGCTCAGTTCGAAAGGAGAAATCCTACATCAACACTGGCTTTGCAGGACAAACTTTAATATCATTGTAGACAAGTTCAGAAACGTTCATTCAGATAGCTGTGGTGCTTTAGCCGTTTACATTTGCTCAGTTTGCTGAGCTCCATGTTGCCACAGATCATCCTGCAGATATTCTCAGTCAAAAGCATTTATATCTAGCCTTGTATTTTTCAACTATGTTGAACCAGTACCTGCCACTGCAGTGTAGATGTGTTCTTGGTCTGTGATTCATCCAGTCTATATTACTGTTTTCAGGTACAA